AGCAGAGTAAAGCTCTTCAATAATGCTTCATTAATTGCTTTTCTCCGCCCTGTACTCACATGTGGGTAGTAGTCCATGACCAGCAGGTATTCTGACCGGCCCTCGGGGCCCGTCCGCTCGTCAGCAGCTATGAACCGGGCGATGTTATCGTGCTCCAGGAGCGGCAGGCGGTAGATGGAGCACTCGTTGACAAAGTTCTGCCGATTGGCTGCTGTAAACACTTTGACGGCAACGGGCCGCTCGTCCAAAGAGCCGCAGTACACTGTGCCGTATCTGCCACGTCCAATCAGCTGAAGAGAGAGAGAGAGGAAAAAGGAAAACAGACTCTAAATAGATGTTTTACAATTTAAATCTTTTGAGCTTACTAATCTAAAAAGAATAAGGCAAACAGGATCCTTCGTTGAAAACATAGTCCAACACAGAGGTACACATGTGCTTGAGAAAAACAGAGAGACCCGAGAAAAACAGAGAGACCCAAAAAAAAGACTCAAAATCTCAAGAGCAGTAAAAGCAATTATTAACAGGCCGACAGTGAAGCATGTTAGCAAGCAGGCAGGGAGTGGGGGGATGGGAAATAAATTTAATTACAAAACAAACAACAGTTAAAATGGTTTTGAGTCGGTTCCCTTGCAGACTGCCTTTAAATGTCATCTGCAAGGGAGCAGAGGAAGAATTCAGCAGTGCATTTACTTGTGTTTAATGTCTTCCTCTGGACATTTATCTCTGGCTCAGAAAGACACAAAGCGAAACAATAAACCTGTTTAGTCTGGGAGTAAGGCTCCCTGGCTCACGCCCCCTCAGCAGGCCACCAGTTTAATGCGAAAAAACATGTGTACTTGATAAGGCACAAGGACAACGCCGTGAAATGAACGAAAATGAAAAACGTCTCCCTCTCAGGCCCGAAAAGGATGCGAGGTTAAGCTCAAACTGGTAGAATCTACAGCTTTAGAAGTTATCTACATTACTGTACTGTTCACCGTGTTGGTTGCAGCAGTTTTTATATTGATTTCAAAGCAGCCAAGGGAATCAAATGACTTCAGGACAGCTTTAGAACATGAAAATACGAACAGATGAATACATTTTCCAGAAGGCCAACAAGATATAACCCGCAGCATCTGCAAAGCTACAAGGAGACTGCTGAGCGATAAGCTGAATATTTTAGAACGTTATCTGATGAAAATCAAGTCGAAACTCAGGGAGACAGAGCCATGTTGGACAGCCTGAGTTTTTGCCTGTTACGGGGTTGTACAGTTAGCTAAAATCCATAATAGGATGTAAACAAAATAACATGCTTACAAGCAGGAGCTTGAAGTAACATGTTAAACTGTCCTACTTTAGCCCACACTAAATGGTTTTTAAAAAACAGCCTACGTGAAATCATCTTTGACTAGGAAACCACGAAACATTCAGTTTGAGATTTTTTAAGTTGTGGTTGAGTTTTAGATTATTATTCTGGTTTTCTGTTCAAAATTCATGGCTCAAACTTCATGTTTCCATTAAATATGAAACAATTGAAATCACGTCATTAAAAACAATACTGCGCTATGAACCTCCGACCCCTTCCTGTTGTCTCATTTGGAGTTTCCACCAGTAGTAATGTCCAGTTGTTGATCATGTGACTCGTGGGATGCAAAAGAACAAAGTGTTTCCATTGCAGTTTTGCGAAATACACAGATTTTGAGATGGCTCAAAAACCATCTCATCATAGCGCAAAAAACGTATTAAAAATTGTCGCGTTTCTAAGAAGCAAATTTACTTTTGAAATTCCAATTTGTGCAATTTGACGGTTAATGGAAAAGCAGCTTCTGACCACCACCTTGTTTTAACTGCTGGTCTGATGTTCTTCATCAGTAAAACTGATTTGCGTTTTCGCCAAGACCAGCTGAATATACGTCTCTTCAACTGCAGTGTTTTTTACATCTTTGTAAGTTGGTGTTACAGTGCCACCACTTGGCCCGGCATAACTACTACAACGTGGCACTGAATTCTGTTGTTTGGACCAACATTTTTCTTTCGTGTTTTCAGTTAGTTTAAATTTATTATAAATTTATTGTTTTAAAACATTGCTATAGCTTGGTATCTGTAGTCAGTCCATGCCTAATTCTGAAGAAATATTTTTTAGCAAACTTTTTCTCATCAAAAAATAATATATATATATATATCAATCATTCAGATCACAATTTAATGGCAGGTGTTTCTAGTTTTTTATTTGCAACTGAAGTAATTAGAGTGCTTGTAAAAGCCATGTTTTTACAGAGCCTCAGACTTCTGGTCAATTAAATCAAAGTAAATTAAATTAAAAATGATAATTAGATCCCTTGCCATTTCTTTAGCTGATAAGATGGTTTTTCGAGTAAATTTTCCAAGAAAATAGATCAGGCTTTAGGGAGTCTAAATCGTGGGATGAGACTTTGAGACTCATTCCAAAAAAAACATAAGGGATATAAAATAAATTTTAGTGTACAGGTTATTTACAGAAAAAGCAAGCCGTCCACAGTTTTAGAAATTTGAGCCTCCCTCTTCAACAAAAAGCAAACCCATCTAAGAAACCTAAATAAGTCTTTGTCTGCCTCTATTGTCCCTGCGGCTGAATATCATCCAGACTGTATTGGCTTCCTATCACAACACGAATCCACTTACTCCCAGATCAGGTAGTCAGGATCCGGTGTTAGTGAAAACGCATTCCTATTTTTACACGCTTGACCCGTCATACGCATCATCCTGCTATGATCGGATGATAAAAGTCACATTGAAACGACAGAAGTAGCCATAGACCTTGATGTATTTTTGGTTTATTTCTGTCTCAGCGTCTTTGGTTTGACTTTTAAGCATCCCTTACTCTCTGAAGACATGTGGATAAAAAAACATAATCCTCTATCAGTGATAAGAGAATCTTTACAAATAAAACCTGGTTGAAATTCAGATGATATTGAATGCAACTCTGACTTTTATTTTATCAGAAATCTCAAGATATCTTCAAGGCTGCATTCATAGATCACTTTTATTAGTCCAAAACTGCTAAATAGGAGGGTCAACAGATGAGGTTGGTCTTAAATCTGGATTTAAGGGCGGAGGGTGGAAATGATGAAAACAGTTAATTTGGACACTGACCTCCAGCAGTTTGAGATTGTCAAGGTCCAGTGAGCTCTCAGAGCCAGCAGCCTCCATCATGTTGAGGTTGTGCAGCCCTTGTTTGCCATTTCCTGTTGATACAGACACATTTTTTATTTTTTATTTATTGCAAAAGATTTTGAAAATTATCCATTGCTTTTACGCAACTTCACAATAATACACTGGCTTGAGTTGAACCATTACATACATCAATAATGTAGCATCCAGAGGTACGAAAACCTCTGCAGAAGACTGTAAGTCGTTATGTGACTAGAATTGAAATGCAACCAAAATCGTTCAGATGGCCCTGAAAAATCGATCTTCAGAGCGAGGCTCCATGGTAACTCACTGTGCATCATGCGGTAACCAAAGAAGGCTGCTACGGCGACCACAACCAGCAAGGAGACTGTTGCCAGGGCGATAGTTACTGTCTCTTCGTGGCGCAGCGTTCCATGGGCTGCAAGCAGGAAACACGAGAAAACAAATCCAAATCACACCGATTACTTTTTTGTTAAGAGAAGCACAATGTACTGAACTGTACATTGTTGTCCAGAAACAACAGTTTGATTCATTATTGATGACCTCTAGAGCCTGAGGGCAGCTATGATTGCTGTTCCACCTATGCATGCATGCACACACCATATATAGAAGTTGACAAGGATCCCTTTCATCTCTAACATCTCTTGGCTTCTAATCAAAACAACGAAGTCAGAATGAGCAGACGTGTACGCCGATGTTCCTCCATCGCGCTGCAGAAGACTGTTTAGAGCTCCAGGAAAACACACGGCGCCTAGCGTCATATATCAAAACAAAGTAGGCAAATATACAAAATGGTTTATGCGCACAGTTCACATGAAAACACTTCTTCACAACTTTGCGTTTCATGACAAACCTTCCCTGAAAGATAATGTCCGTCTTTTCTCTGTTGCAGTGAGATAGCATAATTGATTTTTTTTAATTTAAAAACGTTAGGAGACAGTTCAAAGAAATGTATATTTTATATCATGATTATTCAAAGGCATTTCAAGCTACTTTAGATTTTCTTTTATTAATACTGCATCTTTTTAAATTAGTACAAGTCCAGGAGCTTTAAATAAGTAATCTGTGACTTCTGTTTACTTTGAATTTATATACAGTGTGACACAGCCCCCCCAAATCTCCATATCAACCATTAGATGCCAGTTTGAGAGGCATATTGATGCATGTGTTGATAGGTAGTTGGATGGTGAGGTTGACAAGTGGGTGGATGTGAAATCTTAATTATAGAATATGGGATCTAGTGTTTATATCTGAAAAACACTTAAATCCCAAAAGTTTCTATAAACTCTGCTAGTTATAGAAAAATCTCTGCTGGTGATGTGAAATTGGGTTGTTATTGGATAATGATCCAAAACATCAGAAAGGGTTCACTAGATACAAAAATCAACTTTCTTTCTAAATCCAATAGAAACTCTGTGAGGTGAGCTGGCACGATGAGAGGAATTTACTGCAAGAAGGAGGGAACTTTAAGTGTTATTCTAAAAGTAAACATTACAGTCAGAAAATATAATTAATCCTCTAGCTATGCTGGTTCTGCACTGGTAAAGTGTTTCTCTGTTACTGTGCTATTCCGAATACCCCACCCTAAAACCATCATCCATGAGCTTTGTTTTCAGATCACTCACACAGACATTTCCTACTTAGCCAGGAATCTGTCAAGACATGTCAGCAGTTAATCTGCCATGAACCAGAAACGGGATTTAAAAATTCAGGCACAAATGGAATTAAAATTTCACAGATTAATCGAAGAGAATCCAATTTAATTACTCGCCGCTAACTCCTTACTTTCCCCTGTTATCTGTCGGCGCGGCAGAAGCAGCCGCCGACATGCTCCCACTGTCTGTCTGCAGACAGCCGGAGCAGACGCTGTGTAATCCCTGGAATGCAGTAGGACGACATGGATGGCGGGAGAGCGTGTCTGCAGAGGAGATGGGCCGGCGTTGACACCGCCCTGATCTCGCCACACACGGCGCTTTCATTCACAGGTGTGGCGCAGGTAAAAAAAACAAAACAAAACACAACTGCTAATAACAATATCTGTTAGCTGCTTGACAACTCACTAAAGCTTTGAAAGCACAACAGAGATTCTCAACTCTCACTTGGTCTTAGTGGATTGTTACTCAAGTAAAATGGCTGAAAATTAGTTCAACAAAAGAAATAATTCACACACCTTGAACTTTTCCACTATTTTGTCACGTTAGAGCAAGAAACATCAACATTCTAATGGCCAAGTTCAAGTCCAGACGTGAATCTAAGTGGCTTTTTAAGAAATAACACATAGAAATTCCCAATAAAATACATTGAACGTCAACGTCAGAAACAAAAAAGTGGCAAAACTGTTTGCGCTCTGCCCTGCATGAAGAACCGAGAAGCGGACTAAAGCGCCCGCGGATGAACAAACGCGCCCGCGTGTTAGCCGGCTTTTGTGTGCGTGTCCTTACTGAACGGCTGTGGAGGCGTGGGGCTCGGCACCGGGAAGTCCTCCGTGAAGTTTACGTTGCACATGTCGCTGCCGCAGCAGCAGAAGTGGTACGTTCCATTCTGGATCGGAGGCGGCAGGCTGGTCACCACACATCGGTCATCATGGCAGCCATGGTTATCAGCAAGGTGACTCCAGCAACCTGAGACAAGAAAAATTGCAATCTTAGGTTGTTTAAAAAAAAAAAAAAAAGGTAAATCATTTGAGGGCGTCCAAACTAGAACACAATGTACAGCAGTAACACATGACTGGACATTTAGATAAATGAACCAATTCATTTCTGTTTCTATAAAACAGTTTAATTTTTTCTCTTTCACTCAGCCAATTCAAACCAGGACTTTAAATTAACTGAGGGAAATGACTGACCGTACAGTTCAGGAATTATTCTATTAAGCTCGAACTTTCATTTGGTGATTTGAAACGGAAGTGAGAGAAAAGAGCGGCAGAAGCAGCAGAAGAAGAAATGTGTAAGAGAAAACTTGGTTGTTACCTTGTTTGACCAGCTGTAATTCACCAGGCGGGGTTTTCTCCCACAGGCCAAAGCAGTGCTTGCCCTTGGCACATCGGATGGTGGTGTTCTCTGGGGAGACCCTGCCTTCGCCCTCCGCCACTCGCTTGACCTCCCACTGCGGCAGCTGGTCCGTGAAGGCACACTCCCTCTCCTCACCCTGCGCAGCTGACAACACACAAAGAAGGTATTTAAGTGTCATCTTTGTTCTTAAGTGTGGACCTGACAGGACCTTGGACTTAAAGTGGACTTGAGAAACTCTGAGATATTTTTTTCCATCCCTGGCACTTGACCAAATTAAGTTTGTTTAAGCCGTTTGATCCTTCCACTAGCCAATGATCTGACTTAGCAAGATAAGCTCATGAGACACAAGGTGTGTTTTCATTACAAAAGTGCACAAACTTTGTAGATATTTTGCTGTTGTTTCTTATTCCTTTTAGATTACAAGTCTAACTCTTGGCCACAAATTGATAACCAATTAATAACTACCTTATTGTAGTTCAAAAACCTTATCAAAAATCTATCGCAACTTTATGGTCAATGGAAACGCATCAACAAGTTATTCTAGATGTTTGCTTCATTCATGGATTTCGTTAGAATAGTAAAATCGTCTGTATCCAAATCCAATGTCCGTGTTGTTTCGAAAGTCAAACAACTTCGATTTAATAGGTTGGCTTATACGGCTGTGGACTTTCCAGTTGATTTATAATTCATACCCAATCTTGTTTTTTTTTTTTTATTACAAAATGAAATGAGCAAATTCAAGCAGCATTCCGTCAATACCTAAAGGTGGGATGTAGACATGGAGGGTATTTATTTAACTGAACTCAATGAACGCAAATAGAATCACAATAATTCTCCAAGATGGATTCAAATACATCTCATTTGCTGAAGCAGCTGCTTATCGATACAGGAAGAATTCACAGATGAAAACCAACTATGTGCCCATTACAGCTGCTGCCTCTCACGAACCAGAAGATCAATAGAAAGTCCATTTAACTGCAGCCTGAAGGACATAACATTCACGCAGACAGCAGGAGGAATGGCAAACACATACATAAAGTCACCACCTTAATAAATTTAACTGGTTTACAGCCTGACAAACACGATAAAAACAGTTCTATGCTAAAGTATCCACAGCCTTGGACTTTTTAAAATGTTTTTCACATTGCAACGCCAAACATAAATAGACACGATAGACCAGATCTGATCTGGTCTATCTGTTGCATAGTTGTACAGAAAAATGCTACATGTTTTTGTTTTTTCTTCCAAAAATGTTTTACAAGCAACATCTCTGTTTGCTCATTCCAAAATATTTGGACCAGAACTAGAGTGTCCCAGTAATTATAGTGATAAACAATAATATTGTTGTTTTGAGGCCATTTCCAAGTAATATAATGATAATGGCACCATAATAATGCAAGCTTGCCCTCTCAAAGACAAATAAACGTTAATTTTGCAAAGAACATTGAACATTAGAACTGGAAGATATTTTAAATATCCAAAGTAAAACAATAAATGAAACAGAAATAAAAACCACTTCCAGACGAAATCTCAAATAAAATGGATTATGAGGTTTCTGTAAACAACATTTCCCAATCTAAAATATTAATGAGAATGGAAATTATCAAGCTCATTTTAATTTATCATGCTTTAACCTGAAGAGTCCTAATTGGTTAATGGAGTCCACCAAAAGTTAATGTCAGCACACATATAGGTGATCTGGAAAGTCTTAATCTTTATTTTGACAAATTGCATAAACCATGAATTATTTTCACATTTATGAGCTGCACTGTCTCGGTCTCTCACCTCCAATCCCAATAAATTGTTGACGTTCATTTTTGTGATTCGACTACATACGGCAAAGTTCCAATTACATGAATTCATTTGGACTCAAGTCTGCCTCTGAGTTTTGACTGAAAAGATGGAGCCAGTTGTGAAATCACACAAGCTTGCACACATCTGGGCGGCTGAAGTGCCAAGCCAGGAAGAACTCGTCTCTGTTTCTGAGAGTGTGTATATGTACACAGCGTGTGTTGTGGGTAATTTCAGAAGAGAGAAACATGATGTGCCAGTTTGCTTCCCTTACTCCCAACTCCTCCCTATCCCCCATCCGGGAGGAGCGCAGTGGGGGGAGGGTGCTGTTGGGGTTAGTTCCAAAGAGGGAGGAAGGACAACGGTGACTGTGCCCTGTCCAAGGTCAAGCTAGCCTGTGTGAGCAGGGGTTGAGGCAGGAGAGTGGTAGTTTGGCTGGGCACAGAGCCAGCTTTCCTCCTCTGTTCTCATAAGAAGATAAAGCTGTCAACCCCTGGCTACTGTAGACTTTGGCCAGCAGCTGCCCTCAACTTGCAGGCCCCTTACTGCTCACTGTTCTGCATACCTGACTCTGTCTGTAGGGGGAGCTCCTGCGAATACACCTCCACAGCCAACGATAGATTAAAAAGTGAGTTTCAGTGAGTTGATTTCCTCACTAGACCAGGAGAAACATTTCTGATTTCAAAGTGGTGTTATTTTCACCTCAGTTAACTCTGAATCTGAAGATGAAAGAGAATCGAATATTAGACAGTCTTCTAATGCCTCACTAAGCATATTGGTATGTGCATTATAGATGTCACAGCCAGAGTATAACTGAACTAAGCAGAATTTTAAGTTATACTCCAATACAAATTCTATCGATGATGTATAATTATTAGGGATGGGCAGTTATCATATAGTTTTCCATTATGATAAAAAATTTCTCGGGAGAATTTGGATTTATTGTGACAAAAAAAAAAAAAAAAGAAATCAATGTTTGGAAATGCCAAAAATTGGCTGTAATGTTGTGTCGCTTCCTGCTGACAAACACGGAGATTTGTGATTGTAATGTGATAAAAACGAGCAAGCGTTCAAGCAGTATGAATATTTTAGCACTATGCAACTTAAACATACATCTGCAGACAAAGGGACTCCAGCAGCGACAGATTTCCAGTGAAACGTGCCACTTGAAGAAACTATCAGAAATCTGCAGACAATAGCAGTGCGATCCTAGACCAAGGGCGTGTGGTTCCAGATTTTCCTTCCTCCAAGTAGCTTTGTGAACCGAACCCTCTTTTCCTTTCTCTCTCCATCGTCTTCACTCGAATTACACTTTAAAGGCTGCATTGAAATTCTCCTCGAGCTTTCTTTAAAGCCCAAAAAAGAAGAAAGCGTAGCTTTAAGGACACGGCTGCAATGGATTTTTAACATAAAAGCAATCAGTACTTACATTTCGCCCTAACTACCGCGATAAAAAATCTTTAATGAACCGCTACAAGAGATAAATGAATCCAGTGGTGAAACTGGACCAACTGCCTTCACTTAACAACCCGACCTACTGTCTTCATTCATTCACAATGCTTTCTCTATTCAACGATACTTAATTGGTTACTCTAAAAGGGAAAGTATAGTAACAGAATGAGACTGTTTGTGTTAAAGTGCCTTGCAGGCTTTTGTATTGCGCCGACGAGCATGTAGAAGTCTCCGACGCAGTTTTGATTGACAACTTAATAAATTAACTGTCTTATAAGTCAAACTAACACCTGTGGTGATGATAAAAAAAAAAAAAAAATTCTGGGGTTGTAGCCAAGGTGGGTAGTTCCTTTTTTGGACCTGGTTCAAACAATAATTGTACCTGTCTGCACAGGCATAATTTGCAAAGTTTGTCCTCCACCTACATCCTCTGCCAGTACACCCAACATACTTTATAGTAATATTTTTATATTCAGCTTCAGTTTTTGAAATTCTAATTGAATAAAGTGGTAATCTTGAAGATTAAAGTATATTCTTTTAAAAACACAACCATTACTCTTCTGAATTTAGTACGAAAGCTTGAAGTTCCAAATTTAGTGTCTTTTCTGTTCTGCTCTGCTAAAACATCCCAAGGAGCAAAACATGCAGAGATTAGCTGTGTAATTAGCCACATTATCAACCATGCCCACTAGACCATGGCTGGCTGCTGATAAAAAGATATTAAAGTTTTGAAAAAAGAATTTTCCCATCACTACAACACTTTAAAATACTTTTGATAAGCAGCTAGAGTTTTACCTGGCAGAATAACACATTTCTGTTCTGGCAGCAATATATATTAGGTGATAATTCAATTCAGACCAATTTACTAGCTAATATTCACTTGTTTTATTTTCACTGATACCCTACAGGAAACAGAAAAAAGGTTTACTAAAAAGTGTATTAATGCAAGTAGCACATGAACACTACAACTAAATTCAGTCCATGTTTAATGTTTTTAATGCGGTCTCTTGAGTAGTGTTTGGAATAACTATTGCTTTTCTGTTTCAATTGAAACCAATTAGATCATATACATGTAATTTTTAGTGTAAAAGCTAAATATTTAGATAAATACTTTAAGTACAGTAAGAGTGACTATTGTAGTGGTTGCATGGTCAAACACTACAATGTTATTTCTTTGTAAAAAGTTTTTCTGGACGTATGGAAAGATCCCGTCCATCATAGCTCATTTTATTTTCTCACTGCTGGTGAATGTGTGGACATGGGCTGTACAGGAAGAACTCACATAGAAGAGAGGAGAAACAAAGGAATAATAGAAGCAGCACGACAGAAGGAAGTGCAGGGCCTGCGACAACACCCACAGACGGCAAGACAAACACGGAGACGTCGCATGCAGGGCTGGAAAAACTGAACTCTTTTCAGCAGCGTCTGCTGACATGACCTTTTTAACGCTTGGTGTTTGAGGCTGTGAAATGAATTCTAGAGATGGCGCTCTGTCAGCGACGCCTCCGAGACAAACCACAACACACGGCAAAGAAGGAACTTTTGATAACACCCCCTCTAAAATGATCTAAAACTGGATTTTTAAGATTTCATTCACCACCCTTAAATGTAATTTTCCTGCATCTCTATTATACAAAGCTTCCTTAGAAACAATACCAAATGAGCAGTAGGCATCAGATGACCAAACAATAACTTATGTAAAGAGCTGTTTAACCTTTTATCCTGCAATAAAACACCCTCACTGTCTCCCTAACCCTTTAAACTCCCAGACTTCAAAGCCTGACCTTCTGTGAGATGGAAATAACATTATGACACACACTGACTGAGATGTAGCACATTAAATGGTTTCATTGTGCCAATGTGCTTGCACATAAGTGCACATAAGACAAATGGAGAGCACTGTCTTACCACAAGGCAGAT